GCCTGAAGAGGTAGAAGCCTGCAGGCATCAGACCCCCTGGTGCTGGAATCACAGCTGGTTGTGAGTCAAGGTGTGGGTTCTTGTAATTGAACCCCAGACCTCTGGAAGAGCAGCCTAACCACTGAGCCACCTCTTCTGTGCCTCCCCTCACTCCCTATTTTAAGTGAAAGCTCAAGCACTGAAAAATTCTAGTTTGGAAAAAGAAAAGTTACAAGGTTATTGTCCACACAGAATGATTTGTTATTGGAAAGAACCTTCTGATAGTTGTGCATGGTGGAAAAGTACATTTACTCGTTCAGTAAGTAGGAAATTGTTTCACAAAAAGAAGAAAACCTGGGCATTTAAAAGAACTCACAGATTTAGTGTCACCAATGGAGGAAAAGACAAACTTTTATAGTATTTTGTGAGTAGAAAAGTCCAGACCTTAGCCTCTTGTTTATCTGGTCCCCAACCTTGGCCACTGGCCCACACTGATGAGAACCCAGCAGGGTGTGTTTCAACCTAAGAGCCTGTTGCAGAGAAAACAAATTTCCCATGGTGGAACTCATGGAAGATCTTGGATCTTGTTCCCAAGATTGGAGCATTTGGAAAACATTGAGCCATCCCAGGGGAACGGGAAACCAAGACTTCTCCTTTCAAAATAAATGAAGTGCGATTAATAATCACAAGGAGTTAGAGGAAGAGGGCACGGTGACATTTGCTGGTCACACGTGCAAAAGGGCTTCTGTTTGTATGCTGGGCGAAAGAGCCTGGGGACCTAAGAGGGGACTCCAGTGATCAGGTGCTTAGAAAAGGACTAAAGTGCTGGTATACATCTTTTCTCTTGGAGGGCAAGGGGGCTTCCTGTGAGAGTGGACCAGCCTTAAAACCCACAGGAAGGTGAAGGCTTTCCATTCATCTCGTCTACACGGGTCCATTCACTCAGACACAGGAAACCCACACTGAAACTAAAGGAAGGGGTGGGGCAGCTTCCGTACCCTCAGCCGATTGACTCTTGCTGCATTTTCATCTCTGACAAGATCTTTTTGTGACTACTTAGCATATTTGTTTTCTTTTAAATTCAAGGTTACTCTTCACCTGGACTTTACCCGGGGCCATCTCTTCCTGTGCCTTTCTTCTCCCACATCTTTTCGTCTCGCTGTGTTTATTTCTGCCCCACAGAGTCTCTGTTTGTACTGTTCCCCAGCCTAGAGTCTTGAGTTCTCTGCCACAGACGCTTGCTTTGAGTTGGGTTGCCTTGTGGTCCTTTCCATGGAGCTGAGGTGACAGGATCAGATGATAGAAAACATGGCCATGCCCTCAGGCAGCTGGGCTGAGGGTGAGACCCTGCTGTCATCACGGATAATGTTCCTTTTGTCAGTAACAGTCAGCAGTGGCAAAGCAAAGCATTTCCTCCAGAATACACACCACTTCTGCAGAAATTGCCTGGGTAGAAGGCCAGCTAACATTATTTGCATATCTTCTAGTGCCATAGCACTTCAGGGTATTCAAGTTATGTTTGTAGCAGTGATACATTCAAATGGAAACATACTTTCTCCTCTATTTCCATATAGTGTCACTTATTAACTTAAAGTGTTAGATGGCTGTTGTGAGAGATAGGGTGATTTTTATGTACTTGGAGGCTGAACCAAAGCAAACATGTTAAAGTGCTCAACACTGACCATTGCAACAGAGAAACTCTGTGTAGATTGCATATAGCATACGAGGTCATGTCTCATGCAGAGTGTATGTCACATTGCTGTTGATGGTGTCAAGATGACAGTGTGGTCAAGGCTCTGCTTCTAGCTGAATCATCACCATGAACACAGGATGTCTCCGTGTGGCTGGTCTGTGGGCTGCAGAGATGCACCCTTTAGTGTATACCACCCCATCATCTGTCCCTGATAAAAAGACCTTTTCTTCCCTCTGTCAGCTCGCTTAGAACAGGTCTTTACACTGAGGCACACACATTCCGGAGAAGCAAAAAGTGCTTCCGTAACTCATTTTGTGGAAAAAAAAAAAAAAAAAAAACAGTGTCCAGAGTCTCAGCTATGGTATGTAGTCTTTCATGGACTTCTGTCTTTGATCAAATTTCTCATCTCTCCTTTCCCTTCTTACACTTTTCAAGAGAAGAGCATACTTTCTGAGCTAGTTAGTTTTAACCTTCAACTTGGAACAACCTAGAACCACCTAATGCAAGGGTTTCATTTGAGGTATTGTCCAGATCAGGTTGGCCTGTATTTAACTAAGTCTGTGGGGGATTATCTTGTTGTTAATTGATGTTGGAAAACCCAGCCCACTGTGGGCTGCACCATTACCTACACAGAGAACCTTGAACTGCATAAGACAGGAGGAAGCTTAAAGAGAGCAAGTGGGAAGCATGGGTGCATTCATTCTGTTTGCTCTTGACTACAGATGTGGCATGACCTGTTGTCCTCCCTCTGTGGCTGCTCTGTGTTGATGACTCATAACCTGGAATTGTAAGCTTAATAGACCTTCATCGCTAAAGTTGTTTTTGTCAAGAAATGTCACAACAACAAAAATGAAACTAGCTTACTCTTGTCCTCATATTATCCCAGATATCCCTTGGGCTTCCCATCCAGTCAAGGCTATTTGAACTCCAGGCTAATGCTAGATCCTTTCTCAAGGAACAAGAGAGATGGTATGTGAAGGACAACACTTGAGCTTGACCTAGGACCTTCACACACACACACACACACACACACACACACACACACACACAGCTGTGCACACAACAGTAGAATGTATATATGGGATGAACGCTATGTAAATATGTCTTCCCAATAAACACTGAGTATTATAAATTTTCATTAAAGAATACATGGGCAACACTTTTATCTGTCGGTCGTGAGACTCAGACTGTGGTGGCATTATGATGCTCTGGAGATTTCTAAAACAACGCTGAACAGTTCTATTTTGAAGTCTCCAAAAATCATCCATCCAAGTGTATTGAGAAACTCCAGATGTTTGTCAAAACAGTAGTCAAACTCCAGATATTGGGACAGTAGTCAGGCATCCTTCTTCCTCATTTTAGTAGCGTTTCTCTGTGAAAACTTCTTCACAGCATGGTTATATGAGTTGGTTGCACCAATTATTTTTAACTAAAACATACATATCTCCAATTTTCCATAATTTTAGACACTTTTCCTTTTTTTTTTTTTACAATATTGAGTATAGTTTAAATGAGTTTTCAAACCAATTTGCATTTTTTTCCAAAATCATAATTCATTTTATTGAGACTTGTTTCCAGCATGTAACTTTTATCATAAACTATTTAAAATGATCACTTTAAAATGGAAAAAATAATCTGTGTGTTTTCTATAATTGTATTTATTTCTACTTGGTTTTGAAACTATGATTGAATGTGGTCCTACCACTACCAGAAAAACTGGTCTTTACTTGACACAGTGTTGATTATTTTGCCCAGCTTTCATCAAAAAATTTAAAAATAGCTTGTAATATCTGACATGACTGGTTTCCTTCTCCCTGCCAGTTCCCATAAGGACAGGAGCTCAGAAGAGCCAAACTTTAAAAAATGAGACATCTCCGTTCTTTGTGCCAAAGAGATTTTAGATAAAAATAAAGAGTTCTTGAGGTCAAATAGAGAAAAATAAATTTTCTCTTGTTTACAAATAAAATTCAAAACATGAAGTTCACCATTTTAAGTCTTCTAAAGTTTATAATTGAGTAGTCCCAGATACAGTCCTGATGTACACCATGTCTGCTTTCTAATTCTGGCACATTGCTGGCATTCCCAAAGTAACCCTGTAGTCCCCGGTTTTCCATTTGCCCCTACCCATGGCAATGGCCAATCTGATCTACTTTCTCTCTATGGATTTGCCCACTGCTTATGTACTTTTGATGCTCCCAGTTTATGGTTCATGGTTCATCCACATAGGCGCATATCCATGTGTAGTTCCTTATCACATCTAAATAATATTACCTTGCATGATATGATATTTTTCTTTTCCATTAATCGATTAGTTGGTTTTTTATTCTTTGACTGTTATGATTATCATGCACAAGTATACTGTGAAAACGATTTTAGTTCTCTTAAGTCTTTTCACTTTTCTTTTTAAATTTAATTAATTTATTTTTTATTAACTGCAATTTATTCACTTTGTGTCCCAGCTGTAGCCCCCTCCCTTGTCCCCTCCCAATCCTGCCCTCCCTCCCTCATCTCTTCCCATACCCTCCCCCAGTCCACGGATAGGGGAGGTCATCCTCCCCTTCCATCTGACCCTAGCCTATCAGGCTTCATCAGGACTGGCTGTATTGTCTTCTTCTGTGGCCTGATAAGGCTGTTCCACCCCTCCCCTGGGAAGGTAATCATGAGAGCCTGTCCCTGAGTTCATGTCAGAGTCAGCCCCTGTTCCCCTGGGGAACAGGGGCTTTTCACTTTTCAAAAATATATTTGTTACATACAGAGGATCTGAGAATATTTCAATTTCTATTTTATTTCTTTTTATCTTATAATGTTAGATTACAAGGGGCTGAAGAGTCAGCTCAGTGGTTAAGAGCACCAGCTACTCTTTCAGAGGAACTGCGTTCAATTTCCGGGACCTAAAAGGTAGCAGACAACTTTTTGTAACTCCAATCCCAGGGTATCCAACTCCCTCTCACGGGCTTCCCTGGGTATGCAGGTAAAACCCTCACACCCATAAAAGAAAAATAAAGAAAACCCCTTTTAAAGAGTTTACACAGTCACATATTTCTTTATAGTAGTTTCACGCATTCCTCATCTTCACCCCTCACCCCACACTGTTCCTCCTTTCCATGTCCGAGTCCCTCCCCACCATACCCTCTTGCCCTGAGAAAGATTATTTTCATTTCTAAGAATGTTTATTCAGTACAAAAAGTACTAAAAAAGATTTCTGTGTCAACAGCCATTGGGGTTGTTTAGAAAATGTCTCCATCGTGGACAGAATAATGGAAGCGTTATTCTCAAGTTTAAGGCACACGGATGTTATAAGAGACATATTTGTATTTCACTCACGCAGATTCTAACACAGGACACTGACTCCCAACTGTCCATGAGAGTCCCCTGGAATAGAGGAGAAGGCTGGAGGACTATTTGGTGCACAGAGGTCATCCGTGAGGGCACCAAGGCTCAAGGTCTTCATGAGGTGCTTTTTCAGGTGGACCCAGCCCTCAGTCACAGTCCTCTGGTGAGTATCCTTGTGTGCATTTCTTTACGGAACAATTTCTGCTGCCATGTAGGACCCACCCTGGCTGTGAAATTCCAACCTCTTTTCCATAATGTGCTAGCATCATGATGAAATGTGAAGCTGTTCTGTACAAACAAAAGCACCCTGGTTCCTGCTATCTTACTAGATGTGAATAGCAAAAGCATTAAGTGCCCAGAATTTCAGGGTTCCTGAAACTAGTGAAGGAGGACAAAGTGCTTTCATGAATGCAGAAGGCAGGTTAATGACCTTAGAGATGTCTACATCCTCATCTTTGTTAATGTTATTTACACGAGAAAGGGAATTTACAGCTGCAAATGCTATTCAGGCTGTCAATCAGGTGATCTTGAGATGGCAGGAGGTATCTTGGAGCATCCGGATGTTATCACAAGTATTCTTAGATGTGAAAGGGGGAGAAAGGAGACCAGCATCAGTGAAAAAGATGTCACTGCAGAGGCAGAGGACAGAGAGCACTAGTTTTGAAGATGGAAGAGACTATGAGCCAAGGGACATGGACAATTCTAGAATGTGGGAAAGATAAGAATCATACTCTCTGTGTTTAGGAAAAGAGCCCCCAAATATCTTGATTTCAACCAACAAGCACATCCAGTTTATGGACTCCTCAAAGGTCACAATGCATTGTCATATCTAAACTGTTTCTATTACTCCCAGAGAAAGGATGACAGTGTAGAGAAAGAGCGTTCACTTAGCATGTGATTCCAAAGGAGGGGGAAGCCTGTACAGGAAAACAAGGCCCGGCTCCAAAGGTTCGGGTTGGAGACAGGGAGGTGTGGCCAGCATCACCATAGATGATCAAGAACCAATCGAGGTGATAGGCACTGAAGGCCTTTGACAAAAAGATGCATGAACACACGTTCCTTTGGCCTTTCTCAGTCACATCCCTCTATTAAAATTTGTTTGCAATAGCAGCAAAGCCCAAGGTGGATTTTGGTTGTGGGCCAGCTTACTCCTCCCTAGTGATTATTTCCACTCACCCTGAGCCATTCTTCTCAGTCAGGCAGCTTTCCCTCTACCATTCTTCCTTGCACTGGTTCTTTTAAGTGACCTCCTGGATGTCACAGGTCTCAGGTGTGTCCCTAACCACGGCTGTCTCCCTCCTTCTTTCCCCTCTCTTTCATGGGAAGTCATCTCATTGTCCTTCGCTGTCCATTCAAGCCCAATCTTTCCCTTGGTACCCCTATGGTTTCCAGAACCATGGCCTTCAATATAGCCATACCAAGCCCCTTCAATATATCTGCCTTGACTGATAAAAAGAGGACAGGCAATGATGCCAGCCAGAGAGAGGATGACGTTGGTTGTGTTGGGTGGTAGCAGTCAGAAGGGAGAATCAGCCTTCTGCAAGTAATACTGTTACTCTGTTTAGGCTGCTTCCCGTTAAACCAAACACTTAGTCTATATTTTTGCTTTTTCATAGGTCACTAATATTTATTCTCTTTACCATACAATATGAATATGGGGTAAGTATATTGATTAATTCTGTACATGAAATTCACTTTGTTGAATATATGATTTATCGTGTGTGTGTTTAAGTGTACTTCAACTAGTCACTCTCTGAGGGCTCAGTTTTCATATCTTCAAAATGGATATTTAATAAAGCACAGCCGAGGGCCACTTTAATATTTTTCAATCAAAGCCACTTATAGAACTGTCCAAGTGTTGGAGACTTCTTTATCTTATAACAACCACAGCCCTTCCTTAAATTCTTTTTATTTGGAACAGAAAAGAAATAGTTGAGCCATTTCAAGATTAAACCAAGAAATGTAAGATTCAGTCCGGATGCTTTTTAGCACTAGAGAAATCTCAGTCTGTAACTAGCCCTCTTTTCTCCTGTTTCCTCAAGGAAGAACCTAAATTATGGGCCCGACCTCAAAATGTGTAAAGATAATCCTGTTAGGGGCTGCCTGCCATTCAGGGCTGAAGATCCCTGCAGTGACTGAGCCCACCTAGCTCAAGTCCCTTGACTATCAGGGACCTTTGTAAAGTAACAGAACCTCAAAATCATCTCTCCTCCCCTTTTACTACTGGGGTCAAGGAATGAGAAACCCTTGCTTTTTTGGCTCTCCCAAGTCACTTCTTCTCTAACCTAGCTAAGAATTGGTCTCCCTCCCATGTTGAGCAGGGAGAGTGAGACCTGTCCAGTTTGGTTCATCTGCATTTGAGACCTCCCCTGTGATGCACACTCGAGAGCATTTTTCCAGTTAATCTTACCTGATTGTTCCAGGCTTATTTTTTTATTATATTCATTTAGTTTCCTATCGTCATCCTAAAATTCACTCCTCCTTGTTCCTTATATTCACGTGAGTGAATGTGAACCAAAGATAGTTCAACCCTAGACACTCCCATCAGCTTGTGGTGCAGAGAGATTTTAGAGTCTTCACACAGGGAGTAGCCAAATGATGGCTGGGATTTAAGGGGAGGTATGAATTGACACAGTACCCATAGAAGGCAATTTTCATATTCTAACAAGATTTTAAATGTACAACCTTTTGGCACAGGAATGCAGTAAAAAAAAAAAATCTGTCACATATTTCCATTCTGGCATGTATAAAGATGAATGCACAAGAATATTAATTGCAGGGTGGTGTTTAGCCACTAAAGAGGGGGATGAGCTAAGTATTCATCAGTATAGAGTGGACGCACAGGCTCTGAGACTATATGAAATGGACAGCTGTAAATTAATGTGAAAACAGTGATTATGTGAAAACAGAGGTACTAGCCAGCATGAAACAACCCCAAGTCACCAACGGTGTGGGTATTTGTGATTGAACATATTTATTAAACTCAGGTACCGATGTAAAGAGATGCATCCTTTCAGGTAAGAAACTTGAGCCCAGGACAAAAAGGAAAATGTCCAATATTATATTTTTATGCAGTTTGATGTTCTGGTTTTGTGTTTATCATTTTCTCATACACACACACACACACACACACACACACACACACAAATGGGTTACAGATACAGGGCAGAGTTAACTTTATAGAAATTAATGTTCTACTTTTTAAAACTTTCTATGCCCTAAGCATGCGTTTTATGACATCTGAGGTAAAGAAGGGTGGCCTCTCCTGTTTTTAACCTTTGGAGCAAAATAAGTTGGCTTGAGTATAAGAGTGTCCCCAGCAAGTGCGTGAGTGTAGGCCTGTTCCATTGAACTCATGCTCAAAATCCTATGAGTGTAATTGTGTTCCTAGCGAGCTTATGAGCGCAGGTGTGTTCCCAGTAAGTTTTTGAGTCTGGGTGCATTCCCAACCATTGAGGTCATGGACATTTAATTGTCTGTGGTATTGTCAATGCTCTTTTTAATGGCTTTGCATAATCTCTCTCTCTCTCTTTCTGTGTGTGTGTGTGTGTGTGTGTGTGTGTGTGTGTGCATGTGTGCAAGTCAGCATGCATGTGTTTGCTGAGTAAGGAGGCGAGTAGACAAACTCAGATGTTGCTCTTTAGGCAGAATCCACCTATTTTTGTTTGTTTTAGAGACAGGTTCTCTCCTTGTCCTGGAACTTACCCAGCAGGCTAAGCTGGCTGGCGTGAGCCCTGGGGACCTGCTAATCTCTGCCTCCCCAGTGCCAGGGTTACGAGCCTGTACCACCATGTGTGGTATTTTCACGTGGGGACTGAGCATCAAACTTCGTGTTTTTGTTAAGTGCAGACTCTTCCTTTGCAAGCTTACACCCCCATTTCATGTGTCAATGGCTATTTCTTTCTTAGAATCTGCTGATCTATTTTAAAATGACTCCTGGAATGGAATCCTGTCACACACATCTCAGCGATGCTTGGCAAAAATAAGCAAATATCAAATAAAAACCCACCTTTGTCATCAAGGCTTCTAATCTACTGACTGCATTTTTGCCATCTCTGTTTCGGTGTTTCACTGAACACGGTAATGAATCCAGATCTTAGATGAATCCGAGTCCTCAGACTAGCGATTTTGTCTGCATGCTGTCCCAGCCACGCCTGGGTATTTAATTCTTAACCTTTTTAGGGTCATGTGTTCGCAGATTACAGTGTTAATCAAACCTTAGGAGTCACACACTTCTGAAATTTCAAACTCATTTTTGTGTGGTTTATGTGGTGTGTGTGTTCACACACACACATATGGCGAGGTCAGAGGTCAACACTGAGTGTATTTTTCTATTGCTCTCCACCATTAATTGAGACAGAGTTTCTTGAGAACCTGGAGCACCATCAGTTCAGCCAAACCTGGCCAGCAAGTCCCAGGGATCCCCCTGTCTCCACCTCTCAGCGCTGGGATTACATGCATGTTCTGCTTTGCCCAACCTTGTACGTGGGTGATAGAGACCTGAAATCAAGTTCCCATTCCCACGTGACAGATGCCTTACAGACTGAGCCCTCTCTTAGGCTGCAAGGCTTTTAATGACCCAGAAAACCGTTGTTTAGGAAAGATGTCTTTTTCGCTTAATGTTCCTACCTGTCTTAGTTGGGGTTTCTATTGCTGGGAAGAGACACCATGACCAGAACATCTCTTATAAAGGAAAACATTTAACTGGGGCTGGCTTTCAGGTTCAGAGGTTCAGTGCGTTATCATCACGGTGGGAAACATAGTGGCACACAGGAAGACACCGTGCTGGAGAAGGAGCTAAGAGTTCTACATCTGGATTGGCAGGCAGCAGGAAGAGCAGCACTGGGCCAGCCTGAGCATCTGAGACCTCAAAGCCCACCCCACTTCCTCCAACAATACCACCTGTCCTAATCCTTTCAGATAATGTTACCCCACCCCCATGAGCCTATCGGGGCCATTTTCATTCAAACCACCACACCCCTGCCCCTTGAGGAAAGTTTAGATTGGGTGGTTAAAAAAACAAACAAACAAACAAACAAACAAAACCACTTTTGAGTAGATCCTTTGTCTTGTCTCACTGTCACCCACATTTATGGACATATGCATGTATATGTGTGTGCTTATGTATGTATTTATATGGAATATACATACTAACATGTATTACACTTACTAGTCTTCCACCAGGGCCATAACTATTGGCTTAGCTGCTTTCTCTCTCTCTTTCTCCTCTTCTCTCTCCCACTCTCCCCCCTCCCCCTTTTTCTTTGACAGTGTGTCATGTATCCCAGGCTGGTCTTGAACTTGCCCTGATCCTCTTGCCTCTACCTCCTAATGCTGTGTCTATAGGCTAGTACTTCTCTATTTCTCTCTTTTCACATTTGTTTATGTTCATTCCTTCAGCTTAAAAGATGCATCAGTTACGCAAATAGGCAAGGTTGGAGTAGGCAAAGTTTATCTGTGTTGCTTTCTTGATGGTCTGATTTCTTCTAGTAGCTCTAGCACCTAACTCCTCTTGACCATCTGAGCCTTAGAGGATGAACGAAAGCAGGAGCTTGAAAGTGGCTGGTTTTAGTAGAGAACCTCCACAGGGCAGCAGTTATTCTTGGACTACACTAAGTGGCTGATGGCTCTGGGTATAGATAATACGGACATTCAGTGAATGACAAGGTGCCGTGTCTCACAAAAGGCAGGAACATCCTTGTTCCTGTGAGGTGTGTGCATGTGTGTGGTGTGTGCATGTATGTGTTCATGCGTGTGTGAGTGTGTGTGTGTGCGTGTGCGTGTGTGTGTGCACTGGAAAAGACTCAAATTACTCATGTTCAGGAGCTGGGGGCTGAGAAACCCATTAGACTCACAATGATTCTCAACCTTCCTGACGCTGTGACCCTTTCCTACAGGTCCTCACGGTGAGGTGACCCCAACCATAAAATTATTTCGTTGCTACTTCATGATTGTAACTTTGCTGTGGTTATGAATCATAAACACCTGATATGCAGGATAGCTGATATGTGATCCCAATGGGTCACGACCCACAGGTTGAGAATTATTGCATTAGCGAAACCACCTCAGCGAACCAGCAAATAGCAGGGATTAAAATTTTAAATCCAAACCAGAAGACTTTATCTAGAGAATTGCCCTAGGAAGGATTTGTCTGGTGAGGGCCACATACCCTGGCTGATCTGGGAGGCACAATAAGGAGGCCATGGGAAGAAAGTCAACTAGACTCCTCTTTGCAAGCCTGCCCGGCTGCAGCCTTACATACACCTCTAAACCTTTCACAACTTACCAATGCAGTCCTCATGGAAAGGCTCTAGGCGATTCTGGCTCTGCTGGCCTTTGAACAAGGTTCCTCTTTCTCCAGTGTCCTCAGTGTCCATGGGTCTGACCCAGGCAATCAGCCCGCCTATATCGCAACTTGGTGCACTACCTTTTTATGTGTTGGCCCTACTCATTGCAGCCAGGTGTGACGGGAGGAGAGGGGGTTGCCTGTGAAGCTGAGGCAGGAGGATTTAAAGTCTGAGTGCAGCCTGGCTTCCTACCTTCAACCTGTCTCACAGTAAATAAATTAGTATTTGCTTTGCCTGGATGCAGAGGTAAAAAGTGTTCTGCAGGATTTGCACACGTTAGGCTTGTTCTCGAGTATATTCTATGAACTGGACCAGGCCCTGAAGCTTAATATACTTTAATATGTCTTACTTTCCAGAGTGGCAAGAAATATGGCGGCCCCTGTGGAGGAAGAAACTGCTCTGTCTGCCAGTGTCTTCCTGAAAAGGGATCTCGGGTGAGTGACTCGGAAATCAATGCTGACAGCAGGCCTGGGGTTCAAACCATTCAGCAGCCTCCACTGCTGCTGTTAGCCAGCAGTGCGGTGCTGATCTCTTACAGCCAATGCTCTTCACGGTCTTAGGGAAGGCTGCAATTAATTGGGACTATGTGTGAAGCTGAGAAGACAACCTGGGCTGTGCTGTGCACCCTGTGTTTTATACAACACTAGTGTCAGGAATCGTCCTATGAAGAAAGGCCTGCGGTGCCCGTTCTGGGTCACCTCCTCCAAGGCTTATTGCATAGCAGTGTTTTAAAGGCTCTGAGAAGTGTGTGAAGGAAAAAAAAAAAAAAACTAACTTGGTTTAAAGTCATCTTTCCAGACATCTGACCATAACACCCTTTCATGTAAAGCACCCTGCTGAAATTTAGTATTCCAGTTTAAGGCAATAGCTGTACATTGCATGCTCCATATTTGCCGTGACTATTCTATCAGCTCGAAATGCCTTACCTAACTCTCCGACTCCTCACCTTACATACAGCAATTCTGCTGTGCAGAGGACTGAGCCCAAGACCAGTTTCTAGTTCAAGGCCACCCAGAAGAGCTCTGCTGGCAACTGGACTCTCGTCTGTTTCATAAATCGTGGGGCCCATCTTGGCTACTGTCTTTGGAAAACTCATATATGTGTTCCTAGGCTGCAGTTGGCAGCCTGTCAGCCATGTGCTGAGGTTCAGATGAAGTAACTCCTTTGCTTCAAAACCCTCTCATATATTTTTTGTCGACCTATGCTGAAATACCAATCTTTATACCTTAAATACTCATAATTGTGTGTCAATTACAAATGAGAAAGTAAAAGACCGCAATGGAAATATCCCCACAGTCTGGCAAGAAGGGTTAAGGTTGGTTGTCTTCCTCAGGCTTTGGATAGTTTTGAGGTCAGTTCAACGGTTGGTTTTGATGCCGTAGTCTTCATGCTACTGAAACAGAGTGCATTGGAGGCCTGTCTCAGTCAGGGTTAGTTACGTTTGCTGCAAAGAATGAGACACCATGACCACAAAGCAAGGTGGGGAGGAAAGGGATTATTCAACTGAGTCTTCCACATTGCTGTTCATCACCAAAGGAAGGCAGGACAGGAACTCCAGCAGGGCAGAAACCTGGAGACAGGAGCTGATGCAGGCCAAGGAGGAGGGCTGCTTACTGGCTTGCTCCACACGGCTTGTTCAGCCTGCTTTCTATAGAACCCAAGATCACCAGCCACAGTGAGCTGTGCTCTCCCTACCTGATCACTAATTTAGAAAATGTCTTACTGCTGCATCTCATGGAGACATTTCCTCAGTTGAAGCTCCTTCCCCTCTGATGACTCTTGAGTGTGCCAAGTGGACACATAAAACCAGACAGTACTGGGCTTTAGTCAACTTAAATCTGTTTCTCACTGTTCTGGAAGCCGGCAAGCCAAGTTCAAGGTGCCTGTAAACCTTTTGGCTTAAATAAGAGCCATTTTCCATCTTGAGGATGGTGTTTTTTGGAGAGAGACAGAGAGTGCTCTAGGATCTTCTCAGAAGGGTTTTGTGGTGATGATCAAGTTACCTCCCAGACACTCCATCCCCTACTCTTGACACATTGGAGCTTGGGATTTCAACATGTGTAAAAGGGACATAAACATTTAGTCCGAATGACGCCCATATCAATCCTACAGGGCTAGGCATGACACTCAGAGAGCATGCTCGGCTGGCAGTCAGTCTTTAGGGCAAAGCATTTCCTTCCTCCCACTCCGTGGCTTTATCACTGCATCCATGTACCTTTAGGAATCTCAGTGCCCTTAATTCAGTGGTTCTTTGCTGTGGATCATTTTGTTTCACCCACCTTTCCAGGGACACTGACCATTGAAACACATTTTAGTCAACACAGCTGAGTGGAGGGAGCCACTGGTGTCTCATGAGCAGAGGCCAACAGTACGGCTCAGCTTCCCGGGTGTCGTTCAGGGTACATGCTACACCAGAGGTTGATGGGTGCCCAGCACCAACAGAGCCCACATAGAGATGGTGGGGTGGGTGTGACTGTTTGTGTTTCCATCTGGTGGTGGAAGGAGCCCGAATCGGAGCCAGCCACCACATCCAGGTGCCTGGCCTCACCTTCCGCCCTTGCCCCACAGGCAGGGAAAGGTTGTTACACTTAGATTCCGACACCTGGCTTTACTGTTGCCCAGTGAGCTCAAGCCCTTACATCTGCTGCCTGGATCCCGCTTCCGCTTCTTGAACTCCGTGATCACAAGACAATGACTGAGTACAGGCTGTGCTTTTGAGCTTCCAAGGCTGTCCGTTGGACTGCCAGGGTTTCCTAGGCTGAGCTTCTCTCTGCTATGTGTGTGTCCCCGGGACTGGGTGGCCAAGGGGACAGTGTGTGCAGCACTTCCCTGACGGCTGGAATCTCCCTGTGAGGGCTGCAGGTATGGGTGGCATTTTTCCAGCAGAGAATGTGGGAGGAAGGCCATATGGCACTGGGAGGGGCCGGAGATGGAGGTGATCAGTTCTTAGCGTCCAGCCAAGCTCTCTAGCTACAGTGGCAGCTCTCCGTGGACTGCTGAATGCTAATAGTGAGTTGACACTGAATTCCAGGGGCTGGAGGCATCTCCCTGAGGTTACTCAGCCCAGTAAGGGAAAAGCTGGTCTCCCTAAAAAGAAAGTTGTGCCTTTCCTGTGGGGTCAATGGGTGGTTTGTTCAAGCCATACTAGAACTCTTGAGTCTGAAGTGATTCTTTTTATTATTGTTTATTCCTTGATAATACAAGCATACAATACATTCTGGTCATTTAATATCACCATTATCATCTGTCACCCCCCCCACACACACACACACACTCATACACACTGAAAACTTTCTTCTCAACAAGTCCCCTTCCTGCTTTGATCTCTCTCTCTCTGTCTCAGTGTGCGTGTGTGACAGGTGTGATTCACTGAATTTAATTGGGGTTGGTTTTCTGAGCATGGGTAGACGGCTCTTTATTTTCTGGGGCAGTGTCACCTAGCTAGTGAGTGCAGCGCTGAAGAAGACGACACCTCCACAGCAACCATCAGTTGCCATGGGTTCCTTACAGAGGAGGAGCGGTGGCATCACGAACCCCTCCCCATCCTTGGCCAACAGCTCGTACCAGGCACTTTTCACTTCCTAACTATGGCTTCTGGAGGAGCACCAAAGCGCAGGAGGCTGAGTGATTCTTGACGAACGAAGCTAGCTTCTTGCAAACAGAGTAGCTCTTTGTCTGGGTCTGGAGTTATGGTGAGGTAGAGCAGGGACAGATATGTGCAGTGTCCAGCCTTCTCACTCTGTCAGTTTTGAGTACGGCTATGTCTGGACGCCCTCATTAGAGCCTAAGCATGTGCTTGTGGTGGGTCATGAAAACAGCCTCTTGACTCACAGTGCACACGGATTTGGTGTGCAGTGCAAGCACAGTGGGAATCCGTAAGTAAACCAGCTGTTTCCAAGAAAGAAAAACACGGTCAACAGCGAGTCTCCCCTCTGTACCTAGCCCTCCTATCTCACGCTGCACTGCTAGAATGTGAGTAAACTCCTGTAATTCAAATCCCCAGGAACTTCAGGTATGGCCAGAGATGAGCATCTTCATAGTGAGTCAACTCTGACCACTGTGGCACTGGGAACTTTCCAGGCCAGTGGTGTTGGGGCGGTGGAGTGGATGAGAGTGCACTTCCTGATGGCTGGCTGGCAGATCCAAGCTCAACCGAGGAGAGAAAGATGTGTCTAGAGGGTTAAACCCGTACCTCAGAGTGATGGTATCCCTTGGTTCTGGGACATAGGGCATGACTGGATAGCTGCTGAGTTGCTCCCCTACACGACCCAGGATTCTGCTCATCTCCTTTCCAAACTTGCTGTTCATCTCTCTGTAAGGAGGCAAATGGGATCGAATTGGACAGGAGTTTAACTTAGTCTTTGTCAATCTCAAGGGAAGCAGCTCCATGTAGTTAGTGGTTGTCTGTAAGACGAAGCCATGTCCTTATGAACCAGGACAGGACCTTTGATGAGTGCTGGGTTAGTAACTAGGAGGGTAATAGAAATAGTTTATCTTTCTGCAGCTTTTTTTTTTTTAAATAGAATGTGTTTTATCATCTGAGGGAGTGAAGCAGCCATGAAACTAACAAAGCTTTGTGATGTGATGGTCTCAGTACAAGGGGCAAATGACTTTAGACTCGTACCGTCTTCATGTTTTCAGTGTGAAACCCAAATGTCAGTGAGTCTCTGTTTCCTCTGGGATTGTAAATCGCTGAATATGCTTAGTGCAGTGCATCACCGCACTCACTGTCTCGCCCCTTATATTTTTATCAGCCTGCATCCTGTGATTAAGAAGCAGAATTTACTTGGGGAATTTCAGCTATCGTCAGTATTTTCATACCATTAACTTATTTGCACACACAGTTCTAACACTCAGACGCTTTCTCATGGATGCAGCTGTTTTCAGGACACTAATTTCAGCCTGGCAAATGGTACAGAACAGTGGTTTTATGTCTCCAAATTCCCAGTAGTTAATAACCTGTTTTTACAGGAAACACGATCCAGTGACAACTGAAGGTTGGTAAAGCCGCTTGTCACCCGTTCCTAGGCTTTGCTGCCGCTTCATTGTCCTGTGCATCTTATTCCTCCAAGGACTCTCTGGATGACTCACTTTGTCATCACCAGAAAATTCTCTGATCTGTGTTACTATCTATCTGTCTGTCTGTCTGTCTATCAATCTATCTGTCTATCTATCAATCTATCTGTCTATCTATCTATCTATCTATCTATCTATCTATCTATCTATCTATCTATCTATCTATCTATCTATCTGTCTATCAATCTGTCTATCTATCTATCAATCTGTCTATCTATCTATCTATCTATCTATCTATCTATCTATCTATCTATCTACATATACATACATTATGCAATTAACCTGAGGTCAGAAGGTGAGGACCATTCTCATTGATAAGAATGAGGCACTCTGCCATGCCTTTGTCCTGCAGAGGCAC